ATCAATTAATCATACATTCAAAAAATTACATAAAATAAAATATTTTAACTATTATAGTTAGCTTAGCTAGACATGAACAGACTATATAAAGTCTTGTGGTCTAGTTGTACAATAGTACAACATTGTACGGAGGGGGAGTGCCCGTAGGTGAGTAAAGTTTTTAATTTAAAAAAAGTATTTTATACCCAGTTCAACTGATACTAATGGTTGTCTTTCCCTTTTTCCATGTTTTCACACCTGAATGTTCCACCATGCCAAACCTATGGAAATGACTGAAACTACACACGAATCTAACCCCGAAAACGACCGTCAATATGTGCTTCATAATGGATGCATTTGCCCTATCAATTGTTTGCTGGGATTAGTGGCAATGAGCCAGTGTTATGATTTTCTTTACAAATTTGTTGAATCCGTCTATATTTGTTTCCTTCATTTCTTCGTGCAACTAACTCGGTGTATGGCAAATCTCTTCATCTATGTGAGTCTATACATAGTGTGTAAAACATAAGAAAGCAATATTTTCATAATTCTGAAAAGTTACTGAAATCTCGAATTTCGACGCAACATAAATAAAATAAACGGATACTAACAACGAGTGGCGATTTTACAATTTTGGATTTATGGATTTACAATTTTGCTTATCGATGTAATTAAAACATGTAAAAACTTATCGGTCCAAATATGTTACTGAAAAAAACTGATATTGAAATTATTTAATTCCACGGTTTTTGGAAATACTTGCTTAGTTAATAAACAAATAGAGGAGGGTAGATGGAGAAATACCTATGTTCACTTACAGCAGCTTTTGTATTAAAACTCTCCCATACGTGCAAATTTTGGATGTGTTCTGTTTTTGAAACCCACATAAATTCCATTTTCTGACTTAGATCTTATGGTGTATGTTACATTTAATTTCTTGTAAACTGTAAGTATGATTATAACGGCTTGTTATTCTTATTCGTAGGGAGAAAGACCTTTTTGTGTATTTGATAAAATTATCTAATGATTGAAACTTTTTTGAATTTAATTGTAAGCCATTTTTACAGTGCACAGTAGTCATGACCTCATTTTCTCTAAATTCAATTTACCACAAATATCCGTTATCCGATTTAATTTGAAACATATGAAATGAAAATTATTTATTACCGATAAGAACTCAACAATACATTTGCTACAAAAAATAGTAACCCCATAATTTAGTTTAAGAATATTGACCTTTTTTAGTATAATATTATCCACAAATATAATTCATATGATTTTTCCTCAAATTTAATGATCTTTTTTATTTATTCAGTATAATTAAAAATATTTTTTGTAGCTTAGTTGCAAAATCAATGTTGTATCGTTATTTCTATTGAGTAAAAATTCATTTTATGTATATATTCTTCCTATTTTTTCGTTTTGTTTTAATCATTTTGGTAAAGTTTTTTGATCAGCAAAATATGTTTAGTTTAAGTATATGTTATCAGTTCATATATTTATAAGTTCATTCTCTCTATTTCTGTTTTCCCCAACGTCAAATATGAAATGGCATCTTTGATTTATGCACCATATATATTTAGTCATACATTCGTTTATAGTATATATTGCAAATCAGTTTGTATGATTGATTGAATAACCTTTTATTGTTTTTCTCATTTCATTAGGCGAAAAAAAAACAATTGTTTTCAGCAGCATTTGTTTTTCGTTGATCATGTTAAACTTGTATAAATTTGCGTAACAATTTATGAAAATAAAAAAACGCAAGAGAAAACATACAGATTCACATTTACATTCGCATATGAACACAAATACATACGTACATTTTGCGACGGTTGCATGTGTTGTTTGTCGGCTTCTCGATATTCAACAACATAATGGACAACACGCTAAATAAACAGCACCAAAAATGTATGTGTGTAATTTGGCTTGCTTTTTTTGATTCTTCTTCTTTTTTCTCTGGTTCTCCAATATATTTTTACTAAATTCTATTCATCATGTGTGTAATTTTCTTCGTCTTCACTGTTTGTACTTTGTGTCTTTTTCTTTCCGCCTCCGCGTATACTGAGGAACTCGTAACTTTTCGATTAGATCTTTTTGATGTGTGTGCTTTGTCAGTTGCGGATGGCTTGTTTTTTTGCGTTACATATATTTCACAACTTTTATTTTTTTTTTCTCTTTTTCGCTCAATAAATTCCCTTGTGTCCAAGTCTGCAAAAACAAACCCAGATATGAACAAAGGTCCATATACTTAATTCATACGAAATCACAGCAAGAACAACAACAAAATTTCTCTTATTTTGTTCCATCTAAATTGCACTTTCACCTTCTGGTTTCTTTACTTTTACTATGAGAAACTAAGCGTGTTGTATGCTATTCCATTTGGGCTATATTTCATAATCCGATTTTTGGTTTTCGTATGATCGTTTTCGCTTTCACGTTAAATTTTCAAGTCGTTGTCGTATATTTCCGATGATGTTTTTTTTCTCTTCATGTGCAAATTATATATTTATTTTGATGACATTCACACCGTTATATTCTTTCACTCACGAAAATTTCTGTTTTAATTGATTATTATTATTATTATTATTGTTTTTGAACAATAGTGATATTGACATTTCGCTACCATTGCTCTATTTCCATCGTTCTGTTTTTCATTTATGTATGTATATTTGGTATTTATATATAGTATATGTATATACTTCTGGTCTTTTGATTTCGTGTCTCACTTAGATGTAATCACAAATTTACATGTTTTTTTCGACTTTTTGCACATTTTAAAACGTTTTTAAACATCATTTACATCAACCACATATACATATGTACTAACTAAAAAAATCATATGGTAATATAGATATTTTTTGGTCAAATGGAAAGCACTATCTATTTTGTTATAGTAATTTTGTGTTAGTAATTTATTTCATAATTTTTTACATACTGGCTCGAATGTTGATTAAAAGTTATTAATTAATTAAAAAAGTATTAAATTGATGAAAAAAAGATGAATGTATACATATATAACAAGCACCGATTCCGAGCATCAAATCTCTTTACTTTGCTCGTTTCCAACAATATTTTTCTCTTGGTCATTTTTAACACACAGTATATAGAGAGAGAGACAGCGCCACCATATAAATGTCAATGAAAACAAAAAATCGCTTACGTCACTCAAGAAACAACTTCATTCGCATCAGGGCATTTCAAACGCTATACTTATACAGCGCCAAAATTCAAATAAATGAGTCTGAAGAAAAATCATTGAAATATTTTTTTTTGAAAAATGAAATATTGAATCTCATGCGTAGTAATGTGGCTCGTTATACGCAAATTACTCATAATATAAAACAAAAACGTTATTCTTTCAGTCGAAAATTTAACATTCTCTCTTTGTTATTGATAAAATGGTATAATTTATTCAAAAACTAGAACTTTAAAATAGTAGTTTTATTCTCTAAATACATTAGTTTTGTTGATTTTATGTTCTTTACTTGTTAAATGAAGACGTTTCCAAGTTTTTTTTTTGTTCAATATTTCGTCGCTTTGTTTTTTGTTAATTTAAACGATTTTTGTTCGGTTATTTTGACTTTTATTGGTTTACTTAATTCCTCAAAATGTGCATAAATTGAAAAGAGTCATTTACTACATAATGCTAAAAATAAAATCATCTCCCTCAATTTTATTGTGAAAACACTTAAAATTAACTCCAACAAATATTTTTGAAAAGAAGATTATATTTTGATTTGAAGAAAACTTCTCATCACTCGTTTTCATATTATGGAGGTGTTAGTAAATACTTGATATATTGAATTCCCAAACAAAAATTTGTTGATTGTCTCACCAAGCATCAAAATAAATTAATTTTTTTTTTTCATTCAGTGTATGACTCGAATATTTAAAAACACTCTATTTATTTTTTATTTTTAAACTATACACATGGATAAATATTTAAAATTCAAAAATGAACTTTAATTTTAGTTATGTTTCATCATAAGTGCTGAAGCAGCATGATCTTTATCAACAAAAAAACTATTGAAACATGTGGTTTTAAATTGAATGAAATATAGCCAACAAATTACACTAAGTATTAGGAATCTTGTAATTTAAAAATATCTTAGTATGGAGTGTAGTGTTGAATTGAATTTTAGTCTTAAGCGGTCAGATAAATCTTATTGCTATAATTTACTTGAATTGTTCAGTTATTTTTCCATTTTGACATGACCTTTCTAGTTACTACAGATAGAAGTATTAAATGATTAAACCGAATTCAGTGCCATCATCCATTTAAAAACCGCTCAGGAATTCGGCATTCAACTTAATTATGATTTGCAAAAAGATTTGACATCACGTTGAGTATTTTGTTTGATATACATCAACACCCACCGTATTTTTTCTGATGATTCTCAACTTTTCGACACTTTTAGCTAGTCGAGAAACAGCCAGTGGTATTGTCACTTCAGCCTTTGTATGTTTTGTGTATGTATGGAAAAATCCAATCGAAAAAAGCACTTGACATGACATGGGAATAACAGTCTCATTAGATTTATAGATGAGTTTTTCTCTCTCACTCATCAACAGATCCGAATAAGAAATATTTACAGGATACATCGGTGTTAAATTTAATTTTAGAACTATCAGAATCATTCATTTGGGTACACACAATGTTGATTACATTCTTTTTGTTTATAGTTTTTTTGTTTGTGGTATCTCACCTCCTTTCATCGACCTTCTGCTACGTTTTATTTCATTTCTAGGCTGAAGTTAAGGATGTTTTTTCTATGCGATCTAACCTAATAAACAACTGTTCTATCTATAAATTTCTGAATTATATTTTCTAACCCCAAACTCTGAGGGGATTATGATACTTTGAAAAATATAAAAAGCAAAAATTTAAAAAAAGACGAATTTATTGTAATTGTGATTTTCCTCTCAAAAATGATACATCTCGCTATACACAGAAACAAATATTCGAGTACGGTTACTTGCACTTGCGGTGTAAGCAGAGAGTCTACCCTTCCAAATGAGTTACGCACTCCATTTTACTCTATTTTTGGTGTTAATTTCATTCAAGTGAACACATCATAGTGAAAGAACAAATACACGTGTAGTCATAGCCGCATGCGTTCAACGTATATACATATGACTACACATGTATCTCTTCTTTCACTACGATGCGTTCACTTGGATGAAATTAACACAAAAAATTGAGCAAAATAGAGTGCGTAACTCATTTTGAGGGGTAGACTCTCTGATAACACCGCAAGTGCGAGTAAGCGTACTCAAATATTTGTTTCTGTGTATGAGCAAAAAAATGTAACTATTAAAGCATGCATTAATACATGCCAACGCTTGCCAATAAAATGCACATGAATACAAAAAAAATGATTAATAAACTAAATTGAGCCTTTATCTACGATTACTATACGCTAATGACAGTATTTATACTTCATGCTTCAATTCTTGTGCTCTTTTATGATTGGATAATTAATTGCTTGGGCGAAATATCTAAATTTGCTGCTCGTACTTTCGATTTTATTACCATAACGTTTAAGCAAAATTAACGATATCAATGTTTTTTCTCTTTGAATTTTTTCCTCTGTCATTATTTAATTACAATTTTTCGTTTGGCAACATATTTTGAAACAGTTAATGAACGATAAATTTTCAAATGTTTTTAAAACTCGTGCATTGCATGATGCATACAACTGAGAGTGGCAAGTATTGTGTCGTCAACTGGACCATGTGAATAATAACTCTATTTTCAAAATAATCATTGTACCGAGCTTTCAATTTTTATTTCGCAAAATTAAATGTTGAGCTAATTGATTACAGATAGTATCCAAAGTCGCATAGTAATTGGTTGTTCCATTTGTTTATGTCATACATTTTTGCGGTTGAAGCAGAACAGCTTCTCACAACATGGCGTATTTCAGCAGAGTATCATTCATTTTCGATTGAATTGTGATGAAAGCTTAAATACGCTGAATGTGCCAAAATCTAAATATAGGTGCATCTCACATATTTATTATAAAAAAGTCTGTGTCTGTTTCATGTTTCTGTACTTGTCGAATAGCTATGACTAAATGGTATACGTGCATATATGAGAAGGTTGTTTCCTTTTCAATGTTCAAAAATGCAATTGATTTGAACTTTACTTTTCCTAAATCAAAATAATTTCATCGAGAAAAAAACAATCAATCAATCTTTATTCAATAGCATGATATTTGAACGTACATTTCAATAAAATAATGTTGAAACACACAATAAACAAACCTGACAAATTACATTCAAATTCGTATCAAAATATGAAATTGAAAGGTTTTGTTGACAGTAAAACTTACGAAAACAAGTAATAAAATATGTTTCAACAAAATCAATTGCCATATTAGAGGGAAAACAACTAATACAATCTAATTATTAGATATTTTTATCTTTTTACAACGTATTTATGTAGTAATTTTGACTTTTTGTTTTTTTGTGTGTGTCATTGTGTAGTGTTAGTATGCAGCGCCTACTGCAGAGGAGATTGGCATTAAACAGTATATCGTGTGTTTTCGCGTATTACCGAAATATTTATGATATTCGTTTGTGACCTCGCTGAAAGAAAATTACATTGAAATTGGACAATATTTCAAGCCGATCCATATATGACGCAAAATAGGCTCTATTAAGTTCTCTCAATGTGAAAATAATAGCCTATTTTAAAAATTGTAAACAAATCTTTGTATTATTTAACATTAGTAGATTGTATGACTGGGTACACAGAAACAAGTATTCGAGTACGCTTACTCGCACTTGAGTTGTTAGTAGAGGCTTTACCCCTCAAAATGAGTTGCGCACTCTATTTAACTCTATTTTTGGTGTTAGTTTCATCGAAGTAAACGCATCACAATGAAAAAAGGGACACATGTGTAGTACATATGTACGTTGCCGCATGCGTTCAACGATTTATGTTTCGTTGCCTGCATATGAGTCTGTGTATACGCTAACGAATATGATTGCTAAGTGTATCGTCACATACGTTCGATGAAACTAACACCAAAAATAGAGTAAAATAGAGTGCGTAACTCATTTTGAGGGGTAAAGTCTCTACTAACACCGCAAGTGCGAGTAAGCGTACTCGAATACTTGTTTCTGTGTAACCTTATAATGGTAGACTTTAGTGAGAATTATTAGGTATATTGATATCGCAGTATGAAAATCTGGATATAACTGATACGCACGCGCCTCACTTTTTCAAGGTAAACATATTTCAAAATAATTTTAATAATAGTTTTTATAAAAACTTTGCGCATTGAAATGTGAGCGTAGATAAAATGAAATAAAGAGATTTACCAATACGGCTATATGTAGTCGAAATTCCGACATTAAGGTGTATATAGCCGATACGGTTGAAAGTAGTAAAAGAGTTCTATTATTACCTTGATTATTACTTTCGACTGCTTATAACCGAAATAGATACAGCTTTTTGACAGTAAAATTGTTCCAACTTTTATAAATTGTTGGATCGTTTGTTTGTTCGAAAGTAATAGTGGAACTTCGACTGCATATATTGCCTATTATATTGCTTCGCCCAAAAAACTTACATCTATATGCGATTTCCGTACTGTATAGCGGTGGTTGAATTATTATTTTTCAGCTATGTTACTTTTGTAAATTACAATAAAATATACTAAAATTCGTGACAACGTCAGTCGAAAACTATAGATTTTAAAGATGTATTTGAATTAATTGATATAATAATATTGGAAAAAAAGAAAGATTGTCTAATTGACATTGTTATACATTTTTGGTGTTTTCACGCCAATCTTTTTATTTTTGAAACGACAATATTTGTTGTTCTCGTGAGTTTCTGAATATTCAGTTATACGTCTTATTATTTGAAATCTTCGTCTGTAATCATCGATATATGAATATATTGACTGCAGGCCTATCAATATTATGCGACTTGAATGAAACAATGACATGAAGAATAAACAAAAGAAATCTATCCAATACTTTCGGTGGAATTCAAATCATTGAACATTATCATACAAAATGAAAATTGGGTGTGGTTAAGTGAATTTCACCTTCTATCTCTTTTTGTATCTGGCAATGCAAAAATAGCTTGGAATGCTTGTGGTTCAGACAGCGGTAGACAGAAAAAAGGAGTCGAATTTTAATACTTTTGATTAGAATTTAGATATGATATATATTATCACTACGTTGAATCGTAGTTGATCATTTCGATCATATGTCACATGTGTCTGATATATTTCCGTATATATTATTATTTTTGAACATGTTAACCTATTTTCATTGTTTACGTCACCATTTTCTCGACAAATACAAGCGCAGCGTGAAAAGATTAATACAGATTTCCCACACTGTCGACAGGAAAATGCTCTTGCGCCGAATTATAAATTGTGTTTGTTTTGGTGTGCGCATGAATGTATTCAGCTTCAGCTGAACCGAATATTGTTCCATCTTGGTATGTTGGATGTGTTGTCTCTGTATATTGGAAGGATAAAAACTCACTCGACTCATTGCTGTTGTGTGAGTGTGAGATTCAGTAGAAAATACATGCAAATGGGTAGTCCTTACCTTTTGCCATATACAAGCTAAAGATCAGTTTTAGTTCGCGTACCGTCGCGAGTGGAGATTGGTATGGAGAATAACATTAAGTAAATTAGAGAAGCAACAACCGACCGAAACGAATAACCATCAATAATAACCACAGTAATAATAAAAACGCACGCAACTTTTACTTTTAAACGCATACTTTTAACCAAACAACGATTTAAATTTTGTAAAAGTTACTTGAATTTCTTTTCTTTACTTTTTTTCCATTACATTATTGGTTTAAGTTGTGATTGTGAAATGATAAATATTTGAAACAAAGTAGCAAGAGAAACGAACGAAAGAATTTCGATATATGAAGGATTAGTTGAAGTTAAGATTTGTACTTAAAACGACCATAATAATTGATGAAACGAAAAAAATCTTGAATAAATATTTAACACGTCGTCACTGAGTGAAAAATTTTAGTTCACAAGTGAGAAAATTCCATTTTTATATGCTTATTATTTCATTCTCGACAAATAAATGTTGAGCTATTTTTATCTCTTCGAATTTTCTTTTAAGTTTCTTCGACGCTTAATAGCTTTGGCTCATTTTTGTCGATTATTGGTTTTATAACAGTACATTTCACGTAAAGTAATTAGTGCCTACTTGTGATGGCTCTATGGAATCAAAGGATTTCACCACAAAGAGTCATTTGAACGCGACAGAGAACAACGAAAAAATGTATGACAAATTAATTTGGATTATGCGTTTGAATTTGGTGGCCTTTAGTGAGTGTGTGTTTGTATGAAAAGTGTGTGTGCGTGTTTGTCATTGGATTATAGAGAGTTCTAATATACGCATAAGTACACCACCGACCGAAAATACAAATTTCGATTTAACCCAAAAGTATTTTTAAAGTGGCGAGTGGGTGCTCTCTTTCTGAAATATGTATAAAGAATGAAAGACTACACCAAAGACTGAATTAGCAGCATCAAAATAACAACAACAATAACAAGAGACACATACCTGCCGCATGAATATATTTTTTTTTAATTTAACATAAGCCAAGTGAGTGAATGATTCAAATGCTGCGAAAGGTTTTACTGATTGAAACATTGAGAATGAAATCATACGCGACAGAGAACGAAATTACCCAAAAGAGCTAACAAAAATTTGAAAAAATTATTAAAAATGAAGAAAAATGAAATGAAATTATATTAAATCATACGTTGTGCATGGTGTTTTGCTAACGCGTGTCGCCCTGTAAGGATATATGGAAACTTTCATTATGATTAGTGTGAACGATTTTCATCTGAAAATATCATGGAGTATTGAAATTACTGTCCGGATTAAAATCTTGTATTTGTTTTATTTAACACCCAAGCATCAAAGCGATTTCTTCAGTCGCTATAAATGTAGTGACGTGATGCAGCCAATGTCCGATACATAAATCATATTTTCTCATTTGAATATTTTCATGAACTTAAAGCTATTATCTATCAACCAATAGCAAATATTATATATGCCTATCTATCTATTTGCGCATTCGATTCACATACATAAAACATAGTAGAAATCACAATTTATAACATACTATGCGTAAAAATAGATGCATGCCACTCGGTACCTCAACGAAGTATGATGAAAGAATGAAAATGTGAAATTTTCAGCGTGAACATTCTACTCCACATTTCAGTCAAATCATTTTTCTCAACAGCTTTTCTCCGATTTTATACGTTCAAATTGGATTTCATTGTTCATCGCGTGATCATTTTCTTTAAATAAAGCTTGATTTCATTTTGTATCGAGCAAAAATATAACATAAAGTTCAAATAGCTAGTCTTTGAACACATACCTCAGGATAAAAAAAATCACATATATGTCATTATCGTTATTCTCAGTTGGAAGTAATATTTTTGATTTTACTACATTTGTATCAGCGTTTTCAACGAATAAAAACAAGTTTCACTTTTATAAGTTCAATGTATGTGACGTACTACCCCTGGCACACCGCATCATAGGCATAAATGAGAAAAAAAGTTTTGATTCAATTGTTCATCTCAGTTTTGATTACATAAACAGTAATTTATTTACTGCTGAATCACGAGAATAAGCCAGCGATGCGATACAGTGTTAATCCGTCATAACAGTTATAATATATTGTATAGTATTAGCTATTATCATACCACCGATCATTTTCAGAATACTGTAAGGTGATCATAATATCTCAGAACCAACTTTATATTTACAGTGTTCTGACTCATTTTTGTCATGTGGACAGCAGCGTAGATGATGGTAAACTTGGTATGTACTATCACAAAAAATCTTGAAATTAATCCTTCGAATGATATCAATATATATAATAGAATCAGTCAAACGACTTTGATACTTTTTTATGTTATGCACCCAATGAATTTCCAAAACAAAAGAAAACTTATATATTAGCAAATCTGTACATTGTCGACATCGATGTTCAAATTGTAAAATCATTGCTTCATTCTTACTTGACTATAACTTCTTTATAAGAACACAGATGCAATTCTGTTTACAAAATAATTATACGCCTTTTGCTGTGTGCTTATTTTTAAATCAACATTGCCGAACTGCTTTAATGATTACTAAAATGTTTATAAATAGACACGAGAGTGGGCTAAAGAACATAACTGTATTCTCTCCTTTTAATATCTCGTTCGTTTGTTTTTCTCAATTGCCGCTCTAACTGTGTTGAGAGTGTGAATCGATGTGGAAATGATAATATTGGAATCATAAGATTATGTTGGTTTGTGTAAATGTGAAGAAATGGGAGAAAGAGAACGTGAGACAAATGGCGATCACCATCATACTTTTGTTTATGGATGTGACTTTCTGAATGATTCACAATGTATCGCTCAAACGGTCTATGGCCTGTGATTCATTTCTTTCTCTCTGCTCCTTAAGGATTGTTTTTTTATATTTTCTCATCTTTTTCACTGACTATCCTATTCCACTGACGAAGTATCCTTTACTTTTCAATCGAAATTTCATTTCACACACTTCATTGATGAAATGATTTTTTTTTATTTATTTGGAAATAAAATATCTGATGAAAAATAATAAATAAGATTATAAATTTAGATTATGTTTTAATCTGTAATCTACTCGATAATACTTATATTTGAAATGAATGAGGTACATTGCAATGATTGCTATTGTAACAAAAAACCATAAAATATATAAGAAAAAATATTAAAATTTAAATAGAAAAGTATAAATAAATAGCATAAATTCTGCTGGATGTAAGTTTTTTTCTTCATATTTTGTATATATTTCTATACAAATGATTGCCGCAAATTGAGAGTAAAAAATAACCTAAATTTAACATTTCTGTGTTTTAATTTATTTGATTTTATTGAAGGAAAGTATTTTCATTTTGTTATTTTGAATTCTTTACTGTTCTCTGTTTCTGGGGATAAAGATGTATGGTGATTACTTTTTTCATGACAAAACAATAAACCACATCGTTATAAATGACAATCCTCACGCCTTTTAGCGAACTCCAATATTAATAATTTGGTGCAAGCATTCATTATTTGAGCCATTAAATATTTTAAGTAAATGATATTTACCAAACATTCGTTTATTCATTTCGATTATTTCGCTATAGCGAGCACTGTTAAAGTTTATTTCAATTTTATTTAAATTAGGCATAAAATAATGATTTTTTTAAAAATGGCATCATGAATAAGAAAAAGGTCAACAACAATGAGCAACAAAAGGCGAAAATGAAAATCAATATCAAGATAAGAATAGAACTGTTGATCAATGATCATTGAGTTTCCATATCACTTTGAGTTCACTTTAATTCTCGACCATTCAATTATATATAAGTCATTTTCAATTTCAACTATACATACTACAAGCTATGAAGAAAAGTGTACGCAATTTTACGTATTTGCAATCGACGATAGCGTGGTTTATCATTTCAAGCTTTGAATAGAATTCAGGAATCTGATGGGAATATAATGAAAATACACTTAATATACGTATTTCATTTATACAAATGTCATCGTGTTTTTGATTGTTATTGTTTTCTTTTACTAAATCCAAATGATTTTTTAATGAATGAATTGATTAATTTTTCTTTCTTTTTCTAATTATAGTAAAAAAAACAATCTCGAACGCGAAACGAAATGTAAAAAAGGCCTAGCAGAGACAGAATATTAGCGTAACTTCATAGGAGTCGATTAATTATAAAGCTCATTTCATCAGTATACCAAAGCAAAATTGCAGGCACAACTAATTTATAATAAATTGCGATAGATGCTGAAACAATTTCGATAGATTTGATAATTGTGAAGCAAACGAATTAAATCGAAAAAGAAAGAAAAAAGCACGTTTTATTTTATCAGTTGAAGTAGAACGCGCGAAAATAATATTACCGTTTTACTGGTTTTAACAATCGAGCATTTGAATAAACGGTTTAAAAAAAACCATTTCATTTGTTTAGTGCACAAAACGTGAAAGTTCTTCTCCAATATACACATATTTTATTGCGGCGCAGCAAACATAAAATAAAGAAGAACATATGTCAATATAATTCAGAAGGATGGGAGTAGCAGATGATTTTGCTCCAAGTTTTGTAAAAAAGCCGCAACTACGTCAGGAAGATGACGGAAATCGCTTGATATTCCAGTGCGAATTGCTATCATCGCCAAATCCCGATATCGAATGGTATCGCAGCGATCAATTGATCGTTCAAGATGCTCGCACGACCTACAAAATTCAATCGATTGGTGAAAATAAGTATAGTGTTATTTTGGATATTGATGATGTGGCCGAAACGGATGCTGGTCTATACAAGGTCAAAGCCAAAAATGCAATGGGAGAAGTGGCTGCCTCAATAAACTTGAACTTTAGCCGTAAGTATAATGCATATTTTCATTTAAATTTTCTTTCTTTTTATGAAATTATTTATTGTCTCCTATTTATAATCATAATTTGTAGCCGCCGATGAGCCAAAAGAGAGGTGAGATTTTGATATTTTTCTTATTATGATATGATATCTTTTGAATGAAAAAATCGAATGGGTCAGAATAAAAATTCAACTTGTATGATCAATAAGTGTACAGATAAGTGTGTCACCCAAATCAAACTTGGCCTAATTTGGTTGCTACTTGGCAACTTTATGTGAAATTCTTGTAGATTCAGTATAATGCATACGAATGCATAAAAGATTGATTGTTAATAGACTATTTTTCTCAATTCCGATTTTATAGACTCACTTGTTTTATTTCTGTAGATTCAACGAACCAGTTGAGTTTTTATTCTGACCCATTCATTTGTAAAATGGCAGCAGCTCGATTCACAGACCGAATATTTAGTACAGTAATGTGCGA